TTCCAACTTTTTAGACAACAAACATCCCTTGTTCCCTCAAATAAAAACATCAGTCAGAAGTAAAAGACCCATGCTTCTGATCTGTAACAAAGAAAGATACAGAAGGTCATTTTTACCATCATCTATCAAAATGCTTCCATCTTAACCATCTTGTATAAGTATACTTACTACCTTAGAGCATGCATCAAAATAACATTGAGTGTGTATCTAGCTTACGATTATTATTGTAGCATATTGTTTATATTGCTGCTTATTTATATTATGCATGTGATTGTAAGCCTATATTATATAACCTCCTTACACTTATATATCTCACTTTGAAACTGAGTCCGAATAAATAAAACATTTTTTCGGACCCGAGTCTGAATAGGTAAAAACCCATATTCGGACTCGAGTCCGAATAGCAGATAAAAAATCTAATCGGACTCCAGTCAGAATAGAGATGGCCTTTTATAAAACTGTTGAATACTAGACTAGGAAGCTCAAATGCGGCATCCTATATGTCCTCTGCTATGAAATAAGGTATTAACATCAGATGAGCGTCCATATATCCATATTGTTGACATTGCACTTTACTTACTGAGTGAAAGTTAATGTCCTACGCATGACTAAATAACTGACCTAGATATTATAATCTAATTCCTCCTTCTTCAGGCAGGTGTCAGGCCTGGAGCAGGCCCCAATGATCATGTTGCGCATTCCATCGATCCATAAAGCGCTCAACAGAACATGCCTAACATCCATATTATTGTCAGTGTCAGTGCATCTGGTTGTAGCTGAGCGTTGCTAAATTATTTAGAAAAAAAAGCTATGTATGATGGCAAAGTATGTTAATTGCCATTTAAAAAAATAAAAATTATTGAATGGGTAGTACATGGGAATTCATGTATGTTTCCAAAGAATGCTTGTTTTTATCCTTTTTCTACCCATGTCAATGTCTGTACTTCTGACAGACATCATTCCAGGTTCTGGAAATTCCAGGCAACGGTTGAGCGAAGATGACGTCACCAATCAGGGACGCTACCTCCTCAATAACTTCATTTATGAACGAATGAAAAATGATGGCTTGGAAAATATTCCTGGAATGGAGCAGCTGCAAGAGCCCGGGACACCCAGAGGTACAATAAGACAAAAAATATTGTCTATTTATATTTTTGACCTTGTTCTGTTCCTTCCATTTGTCATCCACCTTTTCTTTATTTGGTCTCATTCTTTCATCACTTCCTCCTGTTTCTTTGTTGCTTAGATTTTTGTGTTATTACGAGCATTTGTATTGTTTTCATTTCAGCTTGTCGTCTGGAGTTATCACCTTCTAATCACAAGTCATTTCGTAGAGTTATATTTTAGGCATGAAGAGCGCAGAGGAGTGTTCCCAGAAAGCAGAAAATGGCTTGGGATTCCGAGTTCTGGTGGCATTTGAGTATGATAATATATTGTATGGTTTAGAAATGTATTGACTTGTGATGTTAACTGATTCCGTCCATGATTTTTTCAGGCTCTGGACAGAGTTATTTTTCCCTGCTCAGTTTTAGCCCTGGGGTGCATCTATTTAATGCATTACTGTGAAGCTCTAAGTCACTCTAATAGGTATGTGTTGTCATATACCAAACTGATGGGAATAAATAGAAAATTCTGTTTATATCAATAGCAATGACCTATAATCTGTTTGTATTACATTTTCCTTCTGACAAAAACGAATGAGAAAAAAAAATTGCGCAACAGCTCTTCGAAAATTTCGACTTACTGCATTTTCTCAGCTCTACAAGTCCTTATAATCCATAGGAATCAACACAACATTGTAGCGATATCACCCTAGCACACATTTATGCAAGAATTTCACAAATTTAGTTGAATATCTTTCTTTGAAAAGCCTTTTTATTATACCAGGCTCCATGTTGTTTACCCTTAGATCTAGCCTAGATCGCAACAACAAAACAACGATTTTTGCAAGAATTTCGCGGAGTTTCGATCGATGTTGGCGCTCAGAGATTGAGGTCAGGTTTGTTTACAAGTTCTACTTCCTTTCGACAACTTAAAAAGTAGGAACTATGTTAAAAAGTGCACCTTTGTTTCGGATTTCGTTGAGCCGCTCACAGCGGCCGAAAGGAGGCAGCGGAAAAACTCAGAGCCGCTGTCAGCGGCCGAATGGACGGAACCAGTTAAGACACTTGGTTTTCCAGTATTTTTTTTTTTCATGATCTTATGATGGGATATGGGCTCTTTATTTATATATGCCTTAAAAAAAATTATAGCTCAATGCAGTTGTGATCAGGGACTTCTTTATTTCTCAGGCCCCCCCATGGAACATGTCCGTGAGATTGGCAGAGCTCTCCGTTTCATTGGTGACGATTTGGACAAAGATCAAACTTTGCAAGAGTATGTGAAAATTGAAAAATTTTAATTCCTGTCAACACTGACTTTAAACTCTTTTGTAATATCAACCGCTGCTTAAGTAGTAGTAGAGTCACAAAAAAATTCTTGCTGAGATGTTCATGTGATTTTTACATTGATGTATGTGTAGCCTCTTTGTTTTTAGACCCCCTTTTCCCTGCACAAGCACTCTGAGTAGTGGGTTTTAGTACAGCTCACTGAAGGGGTAGCATGTTAGAAGCATTTTATTACAACGATTAGATTTTTATTCTAGTTCGGAAGCTTTTGACCTGATGATTCTTTGGCATTTAAAAGTAATTAGCTTCTTAAGTTAGTGAGAAATTTACTGGGATGCATAATACATTGTGAAGAAGGACCTCAGTAGAAAAAAATCTTGAAACTCATCTCAAACCATAGACTTAAATTGTAATATCCTAGACTATTGACTCTGACATACTTCTTTTTCATTATGGAGCACACAATTTGAGACAAATGAAAAGCATGGGGGGAATTTTACATGCTGCGTGCAGTTGTCTATAGCGAGACTTGTGTTTTGCTGTATTTCCAACTTTTGTGTACTTTAACCCTTTTGGATGTTTATCGTCAATATGTCGGGAATGGCAAACGAATCCATTGGATGGAGTTTGCCGGTTTCCTGGTGATCGAGGGGGGGTGTGTCAATCATGAGCTAAAATTACAGAATTCTGTGGCTAAAAAGAGAAGGGAAATCTTCTGTGTGGAGCTGCGAACTTGTGAACTTCCTCTCCCGTTTATCAATAAACGATTCACTTTCACATTCTGCAACTTACTAGTGGGCGTTTTGAATTTGATAGAACATTCTGCAATTCCACCTTGAATTCAGGTGATGAAGAACCAAGAAGTGGTGATGAAAGTGACTTTCCACAAAAAATACATGCACTCTTATACATACCTTTTCCCCCAACCTAATACTTATAATAATATACTAGAACCATTTCTGAACAAGAAGATGTAAACGTTTGAGGGTCTTCTCCTTCAACTAATTTTTTTGGTAGCCTTTTCCCTGAACAGCGTTTTTTTTAGCGCTCTAGAGCAGAGAGGCCGCACTCTAGGGTGTGACAAAACTGGGTGACCACCCTCTGAAAGAGTTAAATTTAGCTTGAAAAAAATTACTGCTTGCTGTTAGTGTGGGTTCTGCATTTTTTTGTGTGCATAGTTTATCTGTATGTCTGTAGGTTTAGAGATTTGTATGTATGTCTATAAATGTGTTTGTGTGTGATGTGTGTGGTGTTGTTGTTGTTGTTGTTGTTGTTATTTTTAAATGGTCACACAGTGTTTATTTTCTCTCCTTTGATGAATCAGTTAAGTTGAGTGATAGTGGGTGGTTGGCGGGTGCTCTGGTGTGGTTTGCTCCTTCTTTCCTATCCAACATCTATCGTCCTTATCTCTCCTCCTTCTTTTTTGTTTTTTTTACTCTCTTGTAACACCTCTTGTTTGTTTTAGTAGAGGTTTTATGGCTCTCGCCACTGCATAAGGTCATATGAGCGCAAAGGTGTGGATGTCAACAGAGAAGTCCTTACAGGGAATCAGGCTTACTCAGCTCAACCTCTCTAATTTCAACAGCACAAAGTCTGCTTCAACTATCAAGGCACCCCGGAAATAGCAGGTCATAAGAGTGTGACAAACATACAAAAGAAGTAGAGGAAAATGACAATAGTACGGATTAGGATAAAAAAAGCAGCAGTTCCCTGTTGCTGTTCAGGCACTGTTATGAGCATGGCATTGATGAATCAGCCTATTGACTAGCATCTGCGTTTGTCGTGACTGCGATTTTTGGCTGTTTTTGGTCCGTGAATTGCAGCCGCGATTTTTGCATTTTTCAACAAAAAAAGCTACTTCATAACAATATTAGACATGTATTTTGAAAATTTTAAGGTTTCCATGTATAGATATTTTCATGCGAAGAATGTAGGTACATGCTATACATTGCTTTTAGTCTTTTATTTTTCCCTTTGTTGTTTAAAAAAAAATATTCTGATGTGTTGTTTTTCTATTTTCTGTGTATACAGCACAATGTTATTTAATGTGATGTTGTTCCTACATTAAAAATATATAAATGTATTATAGTTATGTTAGAGTGTTTCTCCACCGAAAGCCGAATACTGGCCCTTGGGTGTGGTTTCATAATTTACATGTTAAAAATATCCTGTACTTCTTCTTGAATTACCCTCATTTAGGGTTTTAAAAAATGGCCAATCTTTGGAAAGTTGGACACACACCCTTATTTGTTAATTTTTGTTGTTTATGTGCTTATCTAGTTTTGACTTAATTCTGTTGTGAAACCTGTGTTTTTCCCGTTTTTACACTGTGTGGCTACAAATGATATTCTGGATGCTTAAAACAGAGCCCACCGCCCCTGGGGGTGGTAACACCTCTAATCTTTGGCACTTATATGGCCTTTGTGTGTTACAAGTGCCGTAAAACTCTTACTAAAACTAAACTAAGTTGAGTGATAGTTCTGTCTTGTATAGCACTTGCAGCCTTCGAGGTATTGGGCACTATAAATGTTCCTATAGTTATTATTAGTATCATTATTGTTATTCTCTCTAATCTTGTCTGGTCTCATCTATTCCCCAGTGCAATCTCGATGGTCCCCCCAGAGGCAGAGCGGGCAACACTATTAAATGTAGCCAGGAATATATTTGAAGATGGCGTCTTCAACTGGGGTCGTGTTGTGGCTCTTTTTTACTATGCTTACAAAGTATGCTCTAAGGTAAGCATGGGGTTAATACACTTTATTTTTTTTGTTTTTTTTACCTCCAACTAATTTAGAAGTGTACATTGTCAGTTGAATGCAGATTTTTGTGCGTGTGTGTGTATGCATGTATATTTATATGTACACACACACATACACACTCTCTCACACACACACTTACACACACTTACACACACACACACACACACAGCGAACAGATTTTCAGATCCTGAAGTTCCGAACAGATTGGTCTGATCATGAGTGCCAGTGCCGTGGCTATCTTTGGCGTATATATGTACTGTACAAAAACTGGTTTTGATGACGGCTCCTATCTTCTTAGTATTCAGAACAAAATGTTATACGAAAATGTACATAAATGAAAATATTTAACATCAGAGAGAGTAGAGCTAATTAAACTTGACTACAAATTTCTTCTACCGAAGTACCGTAGCTGTGGAGAGAGATAGAGACAGAGAGAGAGAGAGGGAGAGAGAGGGAGAGAGAGAGAGAGAGAGAGAGAGAGAGAGAGAGAGAGAGAGAGAGAGAGACAGAGAGAGAGAGAGAGAGAGACAGAGAGACAGAGAGAGACAGAGAGAGAGAGAGAGAGAGAGAGATGGCAGAAGTATAGATCAAGATGTGCTCTTGCTAGGGTAACAGAAGCATTCAGGGAGAGATCTAGCTTGCTACTTCATTTGCTTGTGTGGTTGTGCGTTTGTGCAACAGCAGGTATCTACTACTCTCGGCATGTTAAGTGAATGTTGTCAGTGTGCTTAGCTTCTCTTTACTCAAACACTCACTCAAAACTCAAAACTTCAAGCCTAAACTCTACCAGGTTTACCGATGGAAAAATGAGTGCACTATCTTTTCATTGGTCTGTTGTCTTGTGGGCCATTAGACTTCACAGGTGTCTGTGGTGCAGTAATCAGGTGCTTTGCTGTCACACACAGAAGATCAGACTTCGACTCCTCTGTGGGGATAATTTTTTATCTAGTTTTTCGGTCTTGTATCACTCAGAATGGGTGGATCATCAATCAAGCAGGGTGGAAGCACATCTTAATTGTGTTGATGTAAAAAGCACATATGTGAAGTGTGCTGACAAAATGAGTTACTTCTCATATTCCAGCTTTAAGGAAATAGATATGAAATGGTTATAGGAGACGTTTTTACAATTTATAAGTATGAAATAATAGAAGACAGGTTTATAGATTCTAGTTAAAGAATGTAATAATATGGCATCCGTAGAAAATCTATGAATTTGATCCTAATTTCGATTTTTGGCCAGTATCTCCATTTGTGGATTGCGAGAAGTACCTCATTTTGTCAGCTCGCCTCACATATATTTAAAACAAAAAAAAGCATATTAGTCTTTATCCACAATTCTCTTTATTTCAGGCTTTGGACAGAATACCCCTGGTGCGTGCCATCATCAATCTGATCGTGGACTTTATGAGAGAGCATGTTGTCAAGTGGATCATTGAGAGAGGAGGATGGGTAAGGACTTTTTTTGGTGAATTTCGTAGGCTAAAAATTGACCTTTTGTCTCTGGATTATGGAATATATTTAGGACACGCGATGTGAAGCTGACTTTTGTCTTTGCAATTACTTTACATATTTAATTTGATAGTTTTTCACAAAGATCACTTTTGACTAGTCTTACAAGTCCAGTCAGCATTATTTTTAGTTACAGCCAGGTCAAAAAAATTTTCTCCCTTTCAAGATCGGTTTAAGCAGCCATGCTTATTGAAACTTGAAATTATCCATGTTCAAAGGTCTTGGTGAGACTTTCCAGGTGTAGAAGTCAATATCCGGTTCTTCTGTCGCACCAGTGTGAGGGAAAAAAGGGAGTTTAGAAACGGTACATGAGGCACTGATTTTGTATTAGAATGGCAGTTCTCAGCATAATTATGATGGAATCTTGTTCGCAGTAAAAAGTTAAAAAGACCAATTTTTAGGTGTGTTGTTCTTTATAAGCTTGTGTGTAAGTAATGAAAGTTGCAGATGAAAGCTAAAGTTAGCAAGACCTTAAAGGCATTTTAGAACTAAGAATGTCCCAGCTTTTGAACTTCACTCAGAACAACCAAATTTGTGTGTGTATGGGCAGGGGATTAATTGTTCTTTTAGATATATGGAAAGGGGATAAGACAGAAACTGTTGTCCTGCGATTCTGGACTGTGACTTGAAAATTGAGGGACACTAGATCTTTTGTCCATGTAATGTCTGCGGTCCTTTTTACTTATATATAAAACAGAGACACATGGTGCACGTAAGTCATTTTGGAAGCGAACTGAACAGTACTGTGTTGCTATGATCCTATTGACAAGACTTTTGTTCTTCATGTCAGCATGAAAAAGAGATGGACTGGAGACATAGTAGTCAAAGGTACTGAGAAAAAAAATTTTTAAAGGCTTTTTTTCATTGCTTTGTAAAGACGTGAGTTTTATTCCCACATGAGAATGGCATCATGAATATCTCTGTCTGCCGGGGTGTATCGTGTATCCCACAGATAGGGTTGGAGCAGCCCACATCCTAAATTGTCTTGATAAGGGTGTAAATAAATCATTCTTTATTTTTTGTTTTTGCAGGAAGCAATTCGAGAATACTTTGGCACGTCATCCAAACAGATTGGTCTGATCGTTGGTGCCAGTGCCGTGGCTGTCTTTGGCGTTTATTTGTACAAGAACTGGTTTTGATGACGGCTCCCATTGTGTCTTTGTCTTGGTTTTATGTTTTATTTATTTTTTTGTTGTTGTTTGTTATTAGGCAGGAGGTTTGAGAGAGAGAGAGAGAGAGAGAGAGAGAGAGAGAGAAATAAAGAGATATGGAGAGAGGGATGAGGTTACAGAGGGTGTGTGTACCTGCATGTATGTATGTATGTATGTATGTATGGATGTACTTTTGTGTGTATGTGTTGGAGAGTGAAGGAAGGAGCGTGAGAAGGGGAGAGAGAGGGAATAAATGTTATTTAGATGGATATGATAGTTGACAGGAGGTAAATACATCTAAAGAAATAATATTTACAGTTGGGAAGACGTATTGTGAATGAAGGGAAGTGAATAGAGACGGTGGATTGTGGGTGTAAATCACAAGGAGTGAGACATTTGGTATTTTATTTGTCGAAGAAAGCAAGCAACAGAAAGACTAATACTACTGTTACACGCACTGTCAGGAAAGTTATTGTGTTACTTGCACATCAGTGTAATTTATAGTGTCACATGCACTTTAGTGTAATTTCCTTTGTTTGAGTTGAAAATAATTTTGCTCAAGGAAAAAATGCATGCAAGGAGTTGGACAGTTTTGTTGTAGAATTTGTAGTATAATTGAGTTTTAATGTGTGGAAAAAAAAAGGATGGTTTTGTTTGTATTCTTCAAGAGTGTATTAGTTGTTTTATTGTGAATTTGGTTCTTGTATGCTGGCTTCCCCCCCCCCCCCATTATAATCTGTTTCAGTACAAAATACTTAAGGTGGATGTTAAGTCTTAACAAAGTATCAGTCTGTGATTGCTTTGGTGAACTGAAGGTGTCCCAATTGGAACCTTGTCCAATGATATTTCCAGCCTGTAGGTGATATCCTCGCAAAATTACTGCGTTAAGATTGTGATGGTTTTCTTCATGTGTTTCTGAACGAGAAAGCCCCAGCCTGGGTGTGTTGTGGCTGTTTTGGCCTTTTCCAACAGCATTAACACATCTCCTGTAAGATGTGTGGTACCTTACCCTGTCTTATCAAAGGTATTGCTGGAGGAGACTTTCATTTCCTTAGCCACTTGCCCTCTTGGATGCTTCTCATTTGTGCCATAAGCTGACATCTTTTTTATTCACAGTAATTTCGAGATAAAGGTTTTTTTTGTCAGCGTAACCATTTTAAAAAGGCGATTTTCCGAACTTACAATTCTAATTTATTAAAAAAACTAGTCACAGTTTCTCTGTGATTTTTTTCACACAAGTTTGGTAACTGATCAGGCTTTCTATTCAGCAAATAAGAAAATTTACCACCAAAAATAAAAAAAAAGTGTTTTGTCAGCTTACGGCAGATTTATGTGTGGCACCGAGGAAACCAGTTGGAATGTGATCATAAATTTTGAGATTGTGACTTTTTTGCATATTTGAAAAGATTAATCTTTTTTTCAGTATTATGCTCTTGTTTTGAGATTCTGTTCCATCTGGGGCATTCTGTGAAAAGGGAATGAAGTTCCAAAGAATTCTATATCTTCTTATGATATTTCTCAGAGCCACATGGGTTTAACTGGGTTTAACTTCTTGCTGTTAAAAATTGAAATTTTGGCTACATCTATGGGTATGGAATGCAACTGGGCGATATCTCTTCCTGAAATATTTTCATCGATATAATGCAAGCAGGGGATGTGCTAAGTAATGAAATTCCTGGCTCATTAGGTTCTCCTCCTCTTTTAAGAGGCCGGATGTTGAGTTTTTGCATATAATGAACAAGCACAATGTCACCTCTATGGGCCAGAAATTATGGTACAGCCGAAGAAATGATGCCATTCGCTGCACTTTTATTTGTTGTTATTGTTAATATGTGCCAGTTCCCTCTATTAAAATCATTTGTTTTATGTTACTTCCAACATTGCGTCCTTTTTAAGAGAATTTAGCTCGTAAATGGAGGATAGGTGATAATTGTGGATATTTTGATATATATATTCATGCTCTCCATGTTTTTGTTTTTTGTACATGTGAAATGAAGACTGTAGTTTGTACAGAAAATTATTATGTAAGAGCGAAATTACAGTCAGTTCATTGGGTGATAAATTGTTGGAAGAAAACTATTCTGGGTTGGGGAAAGTCTGGATGGGGTTTGGGAGGGGGATTGTTCATTTTCTTTGTTTGAAAAAATGTGGTTGGTTGGGAGTATCTGCTTGTTGTTATGAGTGCGTTGTTGATTTGAATTTCTTTTGTTTTGATCTTGACTGATGTCTTGATGTGACGGCAAAATGCCGAGTTCCTTTTATGGGGTTTATTGGATAAATTATTTGCTACACCACTCAATATTCATTTATATCCTGAGTTTGAACTAAGTGACTGATTAAGCCACACATTTTATTGCCAGGTTTTTTTTGGTGCTCAGTTATAGATAGGATTATTGAATAACCTTGCTGATGCTCTAAGCATCTATTCATATCCTCACCTGCAGTGAGTGTTTAATCATGGCTGCTCTTTTGAAAGAATATTCTTACTGGATATTTCTGAATTTGAGGAAGGCTGTGGCAGCGAAGGCGGTTCTTCTAATCTTTTCACTATTTTAGTGTTATTTCTATCCTTCCTTGTATTTGTTTTATCATTATTACTGCTTTATTTTCTCCTATGTAGTAAAAGCTAAATGATGGCGGTTTTACTGTGGAACAGCTTTGGTGAAAGCACCAAAAAGTGTATATGTGACAACTTTGTAAAAATGTAAGCTTTGTAGTAATTTCTAATGCCAACAGTGAATAAGGAATAAGAAAGAATACTGTAATAACAAGAGATTTTGAAGTGCTTTGGCAGACTGTGTCCCGAGTTATGATGAAAGTGACAGAATTATTTGTTTTCAGTGAAAATTAGGTAGCCAGGAATATATTGACGCCCTCGCAATAAGAAGACAAGCTTACCTTTTTCTATGTTATTTCTAATGTTTTTGAAGCATTTCTAATCAAAATTCAAACCAGTCTTTGTCTGAACCTATGAAATGGATAATTTACTATTATCAATTCATCAAATAAAAATAATTGTAATATTTTGTGGGTTAGCCGGTCTTATCACAAGGGCGATGATATAACAACTTTTCCCTGAACTTGACAGATATTTCTGAGAGTTAGACTTGGACATAGAATCCTGTTGTTTTTTTTGTAATCAGAATTTCTGCTATGCACAGTCCACTTTGTATAAAAGATGTCAATTTGTAATCAGGGATTATTGTAAGATAGATTATTATCTTTGCAAGCATAATAAAACCATACACTTTAGCATGTTTATCTGAAGGGATTTTAGTTATCTTACACGTTGACAGAAACTGTTCATATATATATATATGTATGTATGGAGCAGTTGTTTGACAAAAACGCTAAAACTGTTTCTTTTTTTTTAGCATATAAACGTTTATGTGAGAATACTTGAAGGAAGAATAGATGTGCTGCACCGACTGACAAAAGCACTGAGTCTGTTACTATTTTTAGTGGAGGAATAATAAAGTGTATCACATCTTATCTTGTTTTTTGTTTCCTTATCTTTAGAACAGTTATTGTGAGGTCACAGCGCACTGTAGTGGTCATCTTGTGCTATAGTTATAATAATGATAATAATAATAATAATAATGAATAAATAAGTAAATAGCATTTGTATGGTGCATATCCCCGCTCGACAGCAAGCTGTCTGCACTATACACCAAATCTTATGCTGTCCAGTTGTTCCTCCTTACTATTGCTTTCTCTGGCCCTTTCGGGAATCTTTCGTGAACGCTCGCAGGGTTTCTCACTATTTCTGTGTGGAAAGGGAAAGAGGAAAGAAGAGGATTCTCTTTGTCAATGTGCCCTGTCAGAGGAAGCAGACCCCCTTCCCTTCTCCTCCCTCCCTCCTCCCCTTTCTTCTCTTCTTGGAGGTTTCATGCCACTAATTATTACGCCACATTCTGATTTTTATCATAGCAGAAACCTGTTATGTGCTGCAAAAAGGGTTTCAGACTAACAACATGCTGACGTGAAGGTATTTTCAATTGAAAAGTTTAGGAGTTTGGGTAACTTTGAAGAGGAATCGAATGAAAGAAAATTGTCACTAAAATGTTAATAAACAACACCAGATTGGACGCACTAGCCATATGCTGTTTAAGAAAACAGGCGATTGGAAGATGCTACTGCTAGCTTCTACTTCTTTATTCCTCTTTGTTGTTTCTTTCGATTAGTGTCAGACTTGGTTTTTTCTCAGCAATAAATGTCCATTATTGTGTCTATGTGCTGCTCTTTACTCACCCTAAACTGAGACATAGCTCTTTCTAATCATACACAGTTGAGCATTGTACTGGTGTGTATATACCAAATATCTACCGAACTAAAAAATTTGCCCTGGACAAGATTTTCAGTTACTCGGCCAAAATATATCTCCCTGTGAAGCTGTCAAGTCTATATGATAATCTGGCACCTGATAATACGTCGACTTTTGTTTTGATGCCTATTGCTTCAAAGAAATCTTTTACCTTCCCCTTTTACTTTATGTTGACAGTTGATTAACACTCTGTGGATGGTTTGGGGGACGCCATTGGTAGGTCCTACTTCTCAACTTCCCCTCTGTTATTTCTGTCTGCTATTCTACTTTTTCCCAGCATCAAAAAACCATTATTGTGTCAATGTTCTTCTCTTAACTCAAACAAAGAAACAACCATTAACCCTTCCAGCCCCATGCATGTATATTTTCAGCAGCGCTTGTACCTTCCACCGTCCCAAGAACGTATATTCTTAGTTTCTGAGGGTACCGAGTTTGCACGTTTTTTCGAAATGAGTGAACCTAATTAAACTTTAATTTTCATATTATATTTGTTCATTTACCTTCAAACATTGTTATATGTTATTATTTAAACCTCATTACAGTACAGAGATACTACATCACTTTTTAGAATGCATTCCTCTTTTTCTGAAATACTGCTGTATTAGCTGGGACTGGGGTTAGGGAATGCACGAAAATGGCTGGGGCTGGAAGGGTTAAAACTCTTTCACGATCAAGCTTTTTGAGCACTTACTCTACTTTTCCTCCGCTAGGTCCAGTGGGTAGTTGATTGTAGTTTCTGATTTTTGTAGGTGTAAATGTAAATATTATATGCCATAGTGGTATGTTGTGACATTTCTTCCTGCCATAACTTTAGTTCAGAGAGGAATTCTGGTAGAATCTTGCTTGTCAAGACTTTGTTTTTTAGCTACCCCAGTGTCTCGAAATGTATCAGGGGCAACATTTAAACCTTTATTAAGTGGGTGGATGGCGGGTTCTCTGATATGGTTTGCTCCTTCTTTCCTACCATCCAATGACATATCCATCGTCCGTATCACTTCTCATTCTTTTCTTTTTATGTAATTTTTAATAACTAACACCTCTAATCTCGTAAGTGCCGTAAAATCTTACTAAAAGTCATCTTAAACTTTAAACCTTTAATTTTGTTTTTTCTCTCTGTCATAGAGACCTGCATTTGCTCCCTTTATTTAAGCTGGAATTTATTACTAACAATATTACATGTATTAATATTAATGAATCACAACATTTTAGTAGTAATAATAAAAGTACATGTAGTTGGTTACTTCTAATGTTGGTATAAATTTTTTAAAAATTCTGTAATGAAAGTAGATGTAGTTCTTTTCTGCTACTGTATTGCACACGCTTTTGTCTTCTCTTTTCTTGCTGATGTTATGAACATCTCCCACTGGTAATTCTCATGGTTTGCTTTGTGTTGTATTCTTGATGCAATCTTCCAAATATAGTTTCAATTTTCAAGCTTTTTTCTTTGATATTTACAGATTGAATCCTTTTTATTTTAAAGTCTCTTGTGTTTGCTTTAAGCCCCAGCTTCAGGTTGAAAAACTTTTTTTTTCTGTCTAAAGTGAAATAATTTAATGCCACCTATTTGTTATGGTGAATGATTTTCACTTTCCTAATGCAAACATTTCATATTTATGACTTGGCACACACCTTGACAGTGGTAGCCTGGGTATGAATTACTGATACATGTATGCCTATTCACCTGACTATACTGAAACTTTAGAAACTGGATATCTTCATACTATGTGGTCTTTGTCAACTTCCAGATCTTGTGCTGGAATGTTGGGGGTGGGGTGTCAAATCATGAAGAATAGTTTGTGTTGGAGTGTAAAGTAACGTTTGTTTCTGAAAATAGTGCAATGTTCATCATGACTTGAGAAATCTTATTTTAGATTTTTTGAAATGTCAGTCCATTTGACGGTCTACCGCAATGTTTCTGTTTTTCTTTATGGTCTACCACCACATCAGTCTGACAGTTGTTCCACTTGATGGTCTACGAACTAGTTTACTACAATCAACAAGCTTGGCCTTAACTTTTACTCTAACCCAAACCTTAGTGGTGACCCTAACCTATTGACATAGCACAAGTAAACTGTGGTCAGTCAGGTAGACCGCCAAGTGGACGTGCACCGAATTTTTTATCCATAACAACTGAAGTGCACAGTTGTAATCTGTATGTCTTTTTTTCTTCTTCTAATTTTCCAGTTGTTCTCTTTTCTGTAGGAGTTGTTGCGTTGGACAAGATGCTGTCATTATTGTTACCTAATGAAATGGAATGTTATTTAGTGTCTTTTTGTTAGCCGTACAGAGCAGGATTTCATGTTTTTGTACTCAGTTTTCACTGTTTACTTCTAGATGAGAATCTTATTCATGGTGCTACGGCAAGCATAGATGGATCGGCCTCTGTGGTGTAGCAGTTAGAGGCTTTGCCGTCCTAAATTATTTAAAGAGAATGAATGATAGAAATGTTGATGGTGGTGTAAAAACATCTACCATTACAATTACATTAGACCACAGCGATAGGTCTAGATACATACACACATCATTATTTACTGGGTAGAAAAGGTTGACGCACCAGTGTCTGTGGTGTAACGGTGGTTCTTCACCATTGCATGCAGAACACATGAGTTGGATTCGCGTGTGGAGAAGTTATTTTGTCGAGTATTCTGTCCTATTACTGGGATGTTGTAAACCACTCGGCCCGAGTTGATCCTATTATTATAACTGGCAGCGTCCACGCAGCCCACTTGATATTATGATATCTGTCGAAATTGTCCAAGGCTGTCAGGATTTTCCGAGGAGAAGAGTAGTTGTCTTAGACCGGTGGACATCTAGTGTCGTTGTAATATTTAACCCCCCCCCCCTAAAAAAAAACCAACAACCGAAATCAAAGGGTTAGTGGGAAGGGGTAGTTTTTTAAGATGATTGTCTTTAACCGGTTGCCATTAGTCTTACAGTAGGTCCAATTGTTCAATTGTCAGTTGTGTTTACACCTGTACCAAACATGATCAATGGCATCAGTATTCACTATAATGCCTCGTCAGGCGTTGGTGTACACTACACTACACACACTACTGGCCACTGGTCAGAAAAGGCTGACGTCATATGATCTTTTGGGTACGCTCAAGGCTGTTGGGTCAACCATAGATGTGCACTAATCTAAAAAAAGAGATAAATCTATGGGGGTCAACTAACATTGAGTCCAACAGTCACAGGCGAACGGACATGGGGTGTTACAATAGTTACACGTAGGTCTTTTGAAATCGGGAGGTTGTAGGTTTCACGAATATCACACACACGCAGAACGTCGTACATGGCTGCTCTTAGTCTTATTGTTTGTCCTGATATGATTATTGACTTGTATTTTTGTCCTCGCACCAATATGAAGGCCATTTCTATTGTGTACAGTGGATAATAATAATACATGTAATACGTCTATGTGTACAGAAGCATATTATCTGCCTTTAGGTTTCATATTACAGGAAAAGTCAAATAATCTGTTTTTGGTGTGTGGGTGGTTGGAGCCCGCTCTACAGGTAGGTAATACGTCTGTTCTTTCTCTCTGTTGTTTCTGTTCGTCTTTCTTATTCTTCTTGTCACAAAAAAGCCGTTATTGTTTCGATGTGTTTCTCTTTCCTGGAACAGACTGCATCAATGCAATTGTCTACGTTTAACCTATTATTCTGCAGCTGTTTTCCTCTTACTGTAGGGGGAAAGTTTAGAACATCAAATAATTTGGTGAGAGCTTGTGTAATGCCATCTTTGCTGCAGAAAAGGACGGCGCTCCGAGTCGAAGCCCACATTTTTTAATTTTAAAAAATCCCCTTCTGCTTTTAATTGTTGCCGGGGTCCCTTTCTGTGTTATCTCTGCGACTTACTGTAAACTACAACTTATTATAATGACCCTTCTTCGTTGTCTGGATGAGGACTGATTAGTAATGGGTAGGCTTTTGGCCGTCTCATGCAGAAGACGTGAGTTCAACTCCCACTTGGGGAAGGTTTAAAAAAATAAATAAATCGAGAATCTCCATCCGTCTGCTCAGTTGGTGTTTGCCGCTCAGCTTGGATTGACCACGCAGACAAGCAGTGTCGATGCAGCCCGTCCTCTAAATGATATAAATGGTGTTTATTTATGGGTGTAAACCATATTTACGGTCAAGCACAATCGAATCCAACCCTCTTCTGACTC